AATGAACATCATGCAACTGCCGGCCATTGGAAAAAAATTAAGTTTAAGGCACTTCCGCATTTTCAGATCCGGGGGAGTCCCCCACTTCAAGATGTACAGCTTGTGATTTAGTATCAGACTCTCAAATTCAGTCTATACTTAAGGTAAAGGTAAACTGGGCAGCAATTAGAAAGCTCCTGGTGAGTTCATGCATACGGTGACATGGTCTTCTACAGACAACATGCACAAGGGCTCTCATCTAGTCTTGCAACTTTTTTTTTGAAGCCGGCTGACCTTCCTGTGCGAGTCCCAGGGAGAGTTAAGGGGATAAGGATAAGTCCAAGGTCCTCTCTGCAGGCCCAGGACACTACAACGGGACTGACTGAGCCGCTCTGGAATGTGCGCTGCACTAAACAAAACCCCCGACCAGCTCTTTATCAAACATCAGCCCCGATTTGTCTGAACCCTAATGCACTCACACTGTATCCACCAGATCGCCCTGGAGAGAAGAGAAATGGGTGAGCTGTCCTCTTCCAACCTCACCCGTCCTCTGCGCTCGTCTCTCAGACGGATAGGTAGGAACAGAAAGAGAGACTGTGTCAGGCAGCCATGGGTTTGGGGGTTATTGCTGTGTTTTCTGTCCGCGCTTAACTGCTCTAACATTGCCGGCGGCTCGCCTCGGGGTCTGCATACTGTGTGGGCTTTGCCAACAAGCTAGTCGGGAGAATACACTGAGTTCACTCACCAACTACTGCGCAGGTAATTAAATGAGAACTTAGAGAGCTGACCCACTTCATTCCCCCACTTCAGAGTCTGTTTGCAACTGTATTCAGTGTATTTTTGATGAAACAAGTCAAGCTGGAATCAGTTTCAGGCGTTGTAGCAGAGAGAATCTGCTTACAGGTCAAATGGCACTCAGGTTGACAAATACTGGAATTACTCCTTCAAGCAAATTTCTCAAAAGGATTTGCAAATTTTACACTTTGAGAAAAACAACATTTGATTCATATTCATGCATTCATTCACTGTGCTTTATTTTGTATACACTTTAAATGTGCAGAAATAAAGCCGCATTGTTGTAAAACAACTGTTGGCTTCTAACTGAAGTGAGAGAGCCCCCCCCCCCAAAAAAAAAGGTGAGAAAAAAACGTTTTGGAGAGGAATCAGTTCACAAATGTGTTTGTTGGGTGAGAATAAAATATAAAAGGTGTGTTCGCACTGCTCCTCTTATTCCGGCTTGAAGTTGAACAAACTCATTTTGTTTAAACATGTTGGCTCGATGATTTAGCCGCGGCACATCGCCACTTTGGTTCCCTTTTAGAACTCGCCAGACAAGGTGTCTCATTTTGACAATAGAGAGAGGGAGGCACTTCCCACAGTTGGAGGCTCGATCAAAGATGTCTGATCTGAGCTGCTTCCACTCAGACATGTTTTGGACTCTGTTATGTAATGCTTTAGTTATAGCTTTCTCGCTTTCTCTTTCATGTTGTTATGGGCATGACTGTTTGAAACTGATTTTCAAAGCAGGAGCAGTAAGCCAACAAATAACAAATCAATTTATCTTGGTTTGAAAACGTTCTATAAATAACACACCATAAGCAGTATTCGTGATACAAATGTCTCTCTGTTTCTAAAAGCCTTCAACTTTGAACTTCTTGGGTTTACTTCAAACGTCTCCATCTCCCTCCATGTGAGCCATTGTGATTGGGTTAAATCCCTCTGTGACTGACAGCTGGTGTCATTCCTGCCTCTGGTACAGCTCATGATAATGGCCTCCGGTCCCTCATCAAGGCTGCAAAATAATACAGTGGAGAGGCACTCAGCCAGATCCGAATGTGTGTAAGCGTAAGTGTGTGTGTGTACGTGTGATGCTGAGCTGGAGGGCCCATTAACATTCATCAGTGGGATAATAGACCAACGTTAATGTCAGCTGTTTATATAAAGAATAACTCATAAGGCCTTGGCGTATATGGGCTGATAGAGCGGGCTCTTCTCCACGCCACATTTGTCAGGCGGTGTGTGTGTGTGCGTGTGTGCGTGCGTGTGTGTGTGTGGAAGGGTGGCGAGGGACTGAACGGCTGGAGCTCCCAAAGTCTCAGATGGAATTGTTTGCCACTAAAGTGAATTTATTGACTGCTTAGATAAACATACTGTAAGACAAGTGAGGCGTGCTTTCCAGATATAACTAGAGCGGCGAGACAGCCTTGTGATCAGTGTTGTACGCTGAATGAACATTTGGACAAAAAAAACACGAACACATACCACTGCATTGTAAAGAGACACCGAACTCGTTATTAAATCCAGGAAATCGTCTCGTTATCAAGATTAATCACAGGTTCCAGGTTTAACGGGGGATTAACTAAATCAGCCACAATACTGCCCCCATCTATATTCAAGTTATGTAATGTCAAATAAAATGCTGACGGAAGCAACACAAAGCTTCAAATCCCTCACTGAGTTTGTCACGTCTGTGGTGCTCGTGGTGACGACGGAATCACAGCTTGTACAGTCGATTCAACAACCACTTTGGTATGTTAAGCACAGAAGCCAATGTGTCATTTTCAGTTGGCCTGACTTCACATTCCTAATTTATAGCACGGGGGGGAGGCCTGCTTAAATATGAATGGTGAAGTGAAGCACTTTAAGAGTCACAACAGAGCTGCTTCGCCTACATCCGCCATTAAAGGGAGAAGATGTAGGAAGAAGTGCTTAAAAAACTTAAGGTACAGTATGACTCAGGGAGGGAGGGTGTGTGTGCATGGAGCTAAGAAAAGATGCTGCAGGAGCATGATGCACACACACACACACATTATATACAAAGTAAAGAATGCGTCAGATGGTTCAGAGAACAAACAGAAATGAGTGCGATGCCCTCTCTTAGTTGTCTTTGTTTTTGCTTTAATCTTTTCTCATAAAGCAGAACAATAAAGTACAAGAGAAATATAATCCATAATAAACAAACAACTTCTAATTGGTGAGATTTTCCTAAATACATGGTGTGTGTGTGTGTGTGTGTGTGTGTGTACTCTCATTATCTCCGCCAGCGCTCTAGCACTGATCACAATTCTTTTTAATTAACCCACGGCGTGTATTTTTATCTTCCGATGCGATGCTGCTGCGCTGGCCCGCCCGTCAGACAGACAAAGAAGACAAAGTATCAAACAGTTACGTGTGGGAGGGAAAGGCAGCGATCAAGCCGGAGATACAGTGACAGAGAAGGAAAGAAACAACCGGGCAACGCCGCGCCTCTTTGAAGCCGTCACCGTGTCACCTCTAATGAGCGGATTTGTGTTTTGTGAATCATCTTAAATCGTACAGCTGTCAGATTACAAAGACTCAGGTAGCACTGAGAATTAGCTATCGGGTGGATGCTTAGACTGGCACTGTGGCACTCCTGCTGTTATTCATCAAATGTTCCAATGTTTACACTGTACTGCTGTTGGTAGGCCTCCTGCTCTGAAAAAATAATCTTATATTTCACGAGACATTGATTTATATGTATTAACCTGGAAACATTACAGTAATCTTGGATTTAGGTATCTCATTTTAGAACAAATAAGTAAGAAGTGTGTGTGTTTTCGTGGTATGGCTAGACTTCCTCTTTGAGCAATACTGCAGCAGCTTCAGCCAGACAAAACACACAGTGCACTAAAATAGCTTCCTTTTTTCACAACATTGCTTTGTCCTGACAGACTGTCTAGCCAGAGACAAACACTGTAAGAGAGCTCTGCAGAGTGAAAACACTTTATTTTTGCCTCGGTAACAATGGCACACAACCTTGGCCAGGTTGATTTCCTAGGTTGAGACCAGAGAGAGAAACTCAAACAGACCACCCAGAAACTCAAAGCCCAGACATTCAGGTGAGAAACCCTGGCAAGCTGAACGGAATACCACACAGGCAGCTAGCATGTCCATCAACTCCTTTATTACATGTGCATTAGCTTCTCTATTCTTTCCATATCACTATGTTTCACACCCTTTTCTCTGCTCTTTTCTCATCCTTTAACTGGAAGGGCGGGATCGATTAAACACCTCCTACATAGGTCAGAGCAGGTAGCCGAGGCAGAGGCTGACACACGAGCTGGGAGACCTCCTCATCACGTCGAGCTCGGCGTGTCCGACACCTCCCAAGGTCATTTCTGCTCTCCCGGGCAGAGAGCCTCTTGTCACTTTTAATAACTTTTAAAAGGGAAGATTTTTCCTCTCCTCTGACAGGCCACGGGAGTAGCGGGACCAGTCGCAGAGTGAGACGATCACAAAGTGGCGGCGGAGCGGGGAAAGGTGTGAAGTGAGGAGACAAGCCTGCAGTGACTCACAATGTGCGCTGTTACTTTATGAAAAGTAGCGCCACATGGAGCAGGAGTATGAAACCTGATGTCAGTCACCGTTTCTGTTTTCTCGTTGGCTTGGGCAAGTGAGCAGTCAGTGGGGATGAAAGCACCTCGCTGTTATCTGTCACTACTGCGCTTACAACCGCTGTAACGTGGCAGGGTACGATGCATTGTGACACAGTGCTGCCTTTTGTAGCCATGCCGAAGAACTAAGTCCACCGTTGCTACTTTAAGGTGCTCTGGATTTACGTCTCAGCCAAATAGCATATATGTTATTCAGTATGTTACTGTCACTCAGTGGGGAATATTATTAGACAGGGCTGCTAAGTGGGCGCGTAAAATGCAGATAATAACACCTGCCAGAAATGTTGTGACAGTATGTATGATCCAATTCTATCTCTTCAGATTATAAGGCCTCAACTCAGGGTGTTTTCCAAGTACCGAACCAATACCAGTGTTCTCTTTCTCCCAAATGTCAAGTCGGTATACTCTTCATCGCTCTTCATGATCAATCTTATGTAAGGTGACGTGAGGCCAGGGATTGCTGTGACACTTCAAACTGTTCTTAACATGCCTGCCTGTATGTAAACTGTATTTAATGTGGATGTGGAAATGCTAACGCTTATGTTTTCCCATCTTTAAAACGAAATAAATCGCTCTGTTTTTTTGTGTTCAGTTCAACCTCCATACCTGTTCCTGTCTGTCCAGCCATTGGTCCACCATTGGATGGTTGGCACTCAGGGACGATCGAGTAATTTCTCTCTGGAACTGAGCGGTCCAGCCACTCGCGTCACGAGGAAGACTCCGATAGGCGTGGCCTCCTCTACCCTGCAGAGGAACAGAAGGAGGCGGAGAGCTCAACATCGTTGCACGAGCATCACTTCCATTCTCCATGTTGTCTGCGTTTGAACGGACAGATTTGTGGGTTGGTGCTATCTATAGCAGCTGGGTGACAGACATCTAGCGGTGGATGTCAGTTAGTATATCTTGGACCCGCGCCACAGACCGGTGTTGTGTTGTTCATTCTGGTCTCACTCCCTTCAACCCTCACCCCTAACCCTTCCCCACCGCTAAACCCGAGCCGCTGCTTAGAGGCCTATTGCAATAAGACAGCCGCAGCTAAGCTCTTCCATGACACCTTCCAAAATAACACTACCAAGGTAATGTCGAACACCGGCAGACTTCAGCAGACTTATTACAATGGCCAAGAGCACAACAAACACACTGAATTACATTCCAGACATGCTAGCCCCGGCATTGAATTATCGGCAATTGAAGGTCGCGGTAGCTGAAGCTATTTGAATAAAGATGAAAGCAAATGAATATTAAAAGACACGGCGGAGACAAGGATTCACCAAGGTACACAAACAGAATGAGAATGATTAAAGGTCTGATGAGTTACGAAACGGCAGCTAAAGAGCGAGACGGGCAGAAACAGAAGTTTGGCTTTCTTTAATGAGACACATCACACAACAGAAGAACACAGACAGAAGTTTAAAAAGAAAATCTCCCAAGTGGCACGTTGCCGAATGAGAGGGAGGATGACAGACAGCCGAAAGGACGAACAAAGGCACATGAAAACAAGTTGTGTTCGGCGAGGGATAAAACAGCAGCAAACAATGCAAGGAAAAGAGAGAGAGAGAGAGAGAGAGAGAGAGAGAGAGAGAGAGAGAGAGAACAGGGGAGAGATCTGATCCCCTGCATGCTAAGAGGCCATGTGTGTTTTAGTGCAGTTGAATGTGATGTGACGGGGCCTGAGGAAGCACAGCAGACGTGTGGGCTCTGCTGAGACGGCCCCCTGATAGCCATCGTGGCCTCGGCCCCCCCGACACGCAACACAAAGGATCCCTCTCCAAAAACGTTTACGACGCACATCGTAAAATGCGGAGAAAAACCAAGATACCAGAGAGGTAGCAGTAAATCAACAGGCCCGTATCTACTCCCTAATCCCTTTATTTGACTGTGCTAAGCGTGGCGAACACGAGGCATTGGAAAGCCATCGGGAGACGTGATGAGTTTACAGTGCTACCCGATGACTGAGGACTCCCGTCGGCCTCTATTAGGAAGACTTAGCAGAACCGGGCCCTACTCAGCCATAACTGAACTCACAGGGAATTGAACAGAACATGGCTGGCTGTAGTGTGTAAAGGAAACTACCCCAGACAATGGGGAGACACTACAGTGTATGGCTTGCATCCATCTGGCAAAGCTAATCACTGATGTATGGTTCCCTTTGAGTACAAGGTTTACGCCTAAGACAAAAACATATCAAAGTCAATGCTGACTAATACATTCAACATCTGTTGTTGATTGCATGAAATAGACTAAAATAGACTATATATGTGTGTGTGTGTGTGTGTGTGTGTGTGTTTGAGGACAGCCTGCCAGTGCTAGCTCATTACTTTTCAAACCAGCTGCCAGTGACAGGAAGATCACTTAAATTGATCTAATTTAGATCACCTGCTACAGAACATTCAGTCAAGCTTTATATATTTCTAAAATCTAGTCTTTTAAAGTGTCCTTTTGGAGAAATCCATTGAAAAACAGGAATCACTTTCTCCATGTAATCTGTGGTGTCATGTCACAGTTATCATTGTTATATGATGTGCTTATGTGCAATTGTTTATATTGTTTATAATCTCAAGTTAAATCCGGTTGATCCCTGCTTAAAGCTACCAAACATTAACATCCTGCAGAGGGCACACAAGAGCGGGAAGCCCCGGAGCAAAGAACGCCTATTTACATTCCCGTTCTGTTGCTTTGACATCTTTTCATTATTTCTGAGCTCAAACTGACAAACAAATATTTGAACATATTTTTCTCTGCGTAAGATGTGCCAGAAAAAGAAGCCACCCAGACAAAATGAAAGGCCTAATAACCGTTTCACCTCAACCTCTTTTTCCCCCCCGGCCTCCGCTGGGGAGTGTGCCATTACACTGTGGAGGCTCTGACAACTAAAGTGTCTTTAAATAGGATTATCAGACAATGCTTCCAGACGCACTAATCACGTGGAGGTTTGCTGTGTCACGTTCCAAGCACTCAATCGTCTCCCTTTTTTTTTTTAAACCTCCCCGTTTCATCTCTCTCTCAGCAAGACGTGAAGGTCTGGCAGCACCACGTGGGGTGGGGGGGGGCAGCCATTTCGAGAAGTTAATTGGCTTCCCTTCCCTTTCAGAAGCCGCGGGGGAGGATGTACCTGAGCTACGCTTTTTTTTTTTTGGGATTTATAATCAGAAAGGTGAATTTTTTGTTGTTTTTAAAGACAACAAGGGGTGCTGGCAGAAGGAGCGAGTTTCAGTTGAAGACTATCAATGTCTCTGCTGGATATCTGCAAGCAGGGCAGCACAGGTTTACCTCTTTGATTTGGGGTTCAGAGGAGAGACTGAATGGAAATGAGGGAAGTGAAAAACAGAGCGACTGCTGGAAGTTGAAGGTTTTCAGGGCACAGATCTCTGACATAATTGATGCAGCTCCAGTATTTCTGCAGCTCTGTGGGAAAATAACTTCAGGGCAAGATGCTGTTGGAATTGGTATAAACTAATTGACAGTAATGCGATACAGAATTAATATGACAAAGTTTTTTTACACTTTGTTCGATTCTCGTTAGCATTCATGACATGAATTATTTGAGTTCGTAGTCATTTTGAGGTATAGCAGTCGTAAGTCAAGCTTATGTTTCTGATACCTTTCGTTCCAGGCTGCCGGTGCTCGTGTTTGGTTTGGGGTTTTGCTTTTGGAAGCCAGCAGTAGTGGACCAGCGGGTCGGGTTCTTTCTGGACGGTTCCTCTGGAACAACCGGGACTTCGCCCGGAGGAAGGCCGGCCATGGAGGGATCACTACTGCGACGGACGCGGAGAGGCATGTCTGTGGAAGGAAAAGATATGGGACACAGTGAAAAAAAAAGAGACTTATTAAACCTGCGCTAATCGCATAATGAGCAGATCACTTTACAGCTCAAGTGTTCCAACTGTAGCACATTTCTTCTGTCTGGTAACCAGAGACCCCTACAGCACCTCCTCGACTTCACTATATGTCCGCTGAGACATGGGAAGTGGTGATTATAAATACTTTTCTTTCCATAGAAAGTCTACTCAGCCCAAAGGAAAACATTGTAGAACTCAACTATGGGAGGCTTGGCTTGGCTTCGGTTCTGCAATAGTGACAGACATATACTGCAGATATAGTTTTGGGTGGAAAATTACACAGCTTTAAAAAAAAAAAAAATGGAAATATGAGAGAAAATGATGTACCCCTTTGCTCGGCCTAGCCACCCTAAAAATAACAATTACAACCGTAATTGCAGCAAAATTGCTCACATATCATGATCCGACTCTCAAGATAAGGGTCATTTTACACACCGCACTAATGACTGAAGCTGATTCTGGAAAGTTGCCCGGGATTGAAACCGGGTCTCCCAACCAAAACCACCCCCTGCCATCAAACATCTAGAAGAAACTGCACAGGAAGCGCTGGTCCATGTTACAGCTGCCACATCGACCGAACTGCAACTAAAACCGGGTGTAAAGTTCACGTATTCGATGAGAGCTGCCAGAACAAGTAGAAGGAATGAAGTGTGCTCCAACCGAGACATTCAGGGAGGAATCCTGCTGATGTCTGTTACACTGTAAGTGTATCCGTGAGCCGGGGTATGAATCATCTGGATTTTCCCAGAAAGGCCATATGGATTTGTTTATGACGCTCTAACAGCCTGCGCGCGGCACCCATGATTATGCAAATAGTCGGGTAACCACCTGTCATCCATCGGCGGATCACGGCACAGCGAGCACATGCCGGCGCTAAGCTTCCATCTGATACACCACAGACATGTCTTAGCGGCGGGAGCGGCGCATTCAAATCACGGCTTACGCTGTGCCCGCAACTCGTACGTATTTAATGCCGTGACAAGACTGGGGAGACTTCAATGCGACTGTAATCGTTTGTTGCTCCCCGCCTGCAGGGTAGTAAATGAAGGCAGTATAATTATGTGACTGAATCCCCCAAAATAAAGGTGGGATCAGCGACGTGTTTGTCAGTCGCCTTTATTCTCACACCCTGACTCACGATATTTTGTCTATCAAGAATCCTTTCAAGAAGCCTCTCTTGACCTTCTCCCATGTCCTTCACCTGTGCTTACTCTCACATGATGGAACATCCATTCGACCCCACTCCCACTATCTAATCCTCCTCGACCTGATAATAAGGTGGTCTGTCGTGTTCTCAACAACACTCCGCTTGAAGGTTGCTGGCTGACTCACTGAGAGTCATTCTGGTCCCTCGCTGGCCTGCAGCCTGTTGTTACTGAGTATTTTTCACAGTTTGAACCATGACTGTCATTAAGGGTTATCTATTAACCCTGACTTGTAGCAGTCTGCATAGTTCAAGTACAACAGTGCTTCCACATTCAATGAAGGTGACTGTTTAAGATAGTTTCGTATATATGTATGTGGCCTCAGACACAGCAGCACAATTTAGCGTTTTACAATTTACGCCGAGCTATCAGTGGATGTGCAGGCATTACCTAGCCCTTTATGTAGCAGGATGAAGAGTTTGTGTCCAGTTAGAGATGTACAGTTACTGTTGCCATTTAATTAACTGTAACCATGATCTTAAACTAACCCGAACCAAGTGTTTTGCCTGCCTAACCCTAGCCCGTACCTTAACCATAATGTCCTTGCCATGGCCAGTTTATTACCCTCACCTTAACTTTGCTGTAATTGGAGAAAGCATTGGATGTGAAAATGTTGTCATGGAACGTAATGGGGCACTTGCGGAAATAACTGCTGCTGTCGTTCTTCTTGGGAGGACAGTCTGTGGGACACAGAGCAGAACTCAGCAATCCACTCAGTACTTTCACTACCTTTTACAGTAGTTTAATGGTGACTTAACCACATTATTTGAAATGCTAAATAATATTGCTCGTCATTAAATCTAAGCTGTATGTTATAAAAAGCCTTCTTATTGTTGCCAACTTTACTGCTGGGTTTGACAACGTCTCAGTCTCACTTCCAAAAAGTGCCCCGTATGGCCAACGAGGAAACATTTGCACCGTTATCCTGTTTGAGTTAAAAAGAGCTGTTGTCACAGTGTGTGTGTCCCCCCCCCCCCTCTTCTTCCACTGTGAGCAGAGGGAGTTCTTATGCATATGATATGATGACATCTGGAAACTTCTCGGAACTTTCTCTGCAACCAAAAAGTGGAGCTGAGCGAAACTACTTTTTCTGAGCAACTTGAGTTAATAAAAGTCTATTTCTCATGAGGGACTCATCGCTGCAAGCTCTCATACAGTAACAGGTAGCTTGTAAAACCGCACTTTCAAAGTAGCTTTTCCAACACTCTGTTAAAAGTTTCATCTCCCCCCCCCCTAACCTAACCACTCTGCTGCCTCAGACCATGCCAGAAAAACTCACCAGCAGCTCTTAATGTATTCTGCATTACTCTGTTACAAATGTGTTTCATTTATGTTGGCCCTTGTCTGTAGGATTCCTCAAAGGAGGTTTGAAATTGAGTAAAGAAAAGCACAGCTAGCAGCCAGACGGCCAGTCGCTGTGCGTTTACTCTTAAATTAGGTTGAAGATTCAATAATGGCATTTAATAGACTTTGCCCCCCTGTCGGTAACGGCTGGTTCACATCCAGTTCAGGGCTCTAATGACGTTCACCTCAGACAGCGGGGATAATTAACGTCCAGTATTATCATACATGACAGGCTTAGAGATGACACACACACACATACAGAAAGACAGCGAGTGAGAGGTGGATCCATAGAGACAGGGGGGGGGGAATGGGAATCAAATCAAACAAAGTCCAGGATAAAAAAACGCAGACGCTCGCTAGATTGTTTAAATTTCTACCTGTCTTCTACCTCACAATGAGGCTTTTTTTATTGGACATTTTGAATAAAGCTTTCTGTTTTGCATGTCTGTGTGTGTGTGTGTGTGTGTGGACAGAAGGTTATACAAGACACTTGATGTGGATTAAAAGCCTTGGTGTATTTCCCAGAATACCTCAAGGGCTCAGCTCTTACTGGACGTTTATCTCGGTCTTTTGACAACATGACAGCCTCGATCTCGCTTTATGCCACGCGATTGTTGCCAGATGCTGACACACGAAGATGTCCATTGTGAGGGGACTAAACACTTTATTTGTGTTATTTAATACCATGCTTGTACGGTACCAAACATTCACACATAATAAGTATATTGAATTCAAATGCAGCAGATAAAGACGGAAGCATTAACAATAACCAGAGGAGCATATTCCCATATAGTGAGTCTTCATTAAAATCCTCACAGATTAACATATGATAAATAAGAGAGCTGTGTGTGTGCTTGTTTCTGTTTAGAAGGTCACAATATGAAGATTCTCTCCCCTCCCCGGTCTCCCTGACCAATTTTCCTCTACTTAATTTGTGATGGGATTATCCCGGCAGTCCGAAGGGCTTGGTTGGTCCCACGTTTAATAACCAGCGCCGCCACTTCAGACCGAGCCAGCCATCGATCCAGGCTGCAGAGGGAGCGAGACCGTTGGAGGGATGGAGGGAGGGTGATGGCTAATAAAATGAGGCCCTAATCCAGCCCCTGTAGTGAGGGATTATGGCCAGGGTGCAGGGTCATAGAGATGTACACACACACACACACACCACAGGGAGAGGTCGGCCTCTCCAGGGGCTATTACCTCGTATTGCTTTGTCCTTTATTTATCTTTCACTCTCACCTTGTTTGCGCGACAAATATATTAGCTGGAATGAATCACCGTGGATAAAAGCACTGAGCGCTAAAGTCAATATTAAAGTCATTTAGTTTGAAGAAGCTGTACTCAACTCCATTCCGGACCCAACTAGTTTTCAGCTACAGCTACAGATTTTTACTGGTTTCATGGCTGCAGGATCCTGCAACACAGGAATGGGAACATTTCACATCAGTCTGTAACCATCACCGTGCAAAAGCGGGATTGAATAGGCGCTGTATTATTTATTTACACAATATTATCATAAGTGTACTATCAAAATAAAGCCATAAATGAATGAAATGCGTTGGCTCACACCTCACAGCAAGAGGGGCCCGGGTTTGATCCCCGATCCCGGGTGGTCCTTCTATGTGGAGTTTGCATGTTCTCCCTGTTGCAGTGTGGGTTCCCTCCGGGTTCTCGGGCTTCCTCCCACAGTCCAAAGACATGCAGCTCAGGTTATTTGGAGACTCGAAATTGCCCGTAGGTGTGAATGTGAGCGTGAGTCTGGCTCCAGCACCCTGCGACCCTGAACAGGGTAAGTGGTTTGGATAATGAATGAATGAAATGTTTTAGAACAATATACTGGACTCAGTATTGGGATGTTTCACTGAACTTTAAAAGAAGCTGCTTGGTGTTTACTCGTCCACTGATAAACTCACACCGAATTAAAAACTCTCCTCTTTGTAGTCATCTCTCTAGTCGCTCATAAACAACACCGAGCTGCAGTACGGTGACATCTACCTCACTACGCTTTCACACGTTTCCCTCAAGTGGCTCTAATAACATAGCCAAATCAACTTCCTACTGTGTGGTGGAAGAGATGGGGGTCAGCGCTAATGTATTAGCTGTGGAAGCTTCCAATCATTGAGATGGCATTAAAGTAAAGGCAGAGGGTCCTTTACTGTACCTGGAGAGGAAGGAGCGGCCCTTCCTCCTGACTGGCTGCCAACTCAAGGTAATGGAGCTAATGACTCAGCACACTGATAAGGTTACAGAGAGGACACGCCGAGACTGGACTGTGTGTGTGTGTGTGCGTGTGTGTTCTCTCCTATTTCTATTTTTATGGTTACCAAATTACCTCACAGAGATATAAAGGTGTAGAAGAGTATGCTAATCCTTCCTCCACACACAAAAACCT